CTTTAATGGGTGAATTATAGGGCATGTGAATTATATCTCAATAATGGTGTTTTTTAAAACATGTGCAATCTCACCACAAACAAATAAGCAGGTGAGGTAACATATACGTTCATTAGCTGGATTGGAGCATTCCACAAAATATACATATTTTGAAACATCATGTGATACCCGATAAATATACACAATTTTTATTTGTAAATTTAAAAAATAAAATAAAATTTTAAATTAGTTAATTTAATTAATTAAAATAAAAGATGTGCAAGCCCAATAGGTAGAAACTACTGACAGTAGCTTCCAGGTGATACAGTTTGTGGCAGATTGCAATTTCCAAGATAGCCACACCAACATATATCCCATCCCACACACTTTTCTCACACCTTAACATGGAGGATGAAGGCCTACATTCCCTCCGCTTGAACTTGGGAGGATCTTCTTAGCTGCCTCAACCAGTAAAATACTGTAGACACGAAACGTGACTTCCAAGGCTAGGTCATAAAGCAATAATGTCTTCCATGTGGCCCTTTCTTTCTCTTGAGATACTTGCCTTGGGACCCAGCCACCATGCTGTAAGGAAGCCCAGGCCACATGGGGAAGTCACATATGGGTGTGTATTCGGCATGTCTTTTTATTCTGATAAAGTCCATTTTGACATTGGGTCCTTACTGACCCTGGAGGGACTGCACCTCCCAGGGCTAGCTGATTCCTAGAGGAAGTGAACGCTGGCCTGTGAGTGTTCCTCCCCGTGTGTTCATGACCACATTCCTCCCCGTCTCCCCCCTCCCCAATCCTGTATTGAGCTCTTACATTCCAGGCTAATAGTCCCCCTGCCCTAATCACCCCAGGGCCAGGTACCACAGGCCCCTGAAATCATTCACGCTAGCCAATCCTACACCTGCTTAGCCTGCCTCTCCTGCTCCCTTTTATACAAACCACAAGCAAGGCTCTTGCCCACATTTCCTTTGCTCCATCTCTGTCTCCTGACTGACCCCAGTGCATCTTCATGTGGCCCCCCATGGTGTGGTGTGGTCCCCTCGTCTCAGGAACTGTGAGTAACAAATGATGTTTTCAAAGACAATTGTCTCCTGATCTGCTGGTCTCACTACACCTGAGTAATAACAAGACATGAATTTCACAATGGTATTTGGCCAACTTCCCCAGTTAGGGCCCTGACCAGCCTCCAGCATGAACCAAGCACCAGCCATGTGAGTGAACATGCCTTCAGACCATTCCAGCCTCCAGCCTCCACGCACTCCCACCGAGATCCATACTCAGAATTCCTGACCCACAGAAGCCACAAAAGACATGATGGTGGTGGTTGTTTCAAGACACTATATCTTAAAATAATTTGTTATACAGCAATAGATAGATAATATCAGGTTACATTCACTTTATACTTTTCTAAATATCCCAAACTTTCTACGACAAACACAGACTGACTGCTTCTACAAGAAGAATTGGCAAACATTATTTTTTTAAAAGATGATTTGGCAAGAGTGAGGCATCTTGAATTTTCCTTTATTTAAGTGCTTTCTACTCCATTGGAAACAATAATATTCACCAGGAGGATTATTCTTCTTATTACAAATGTTTATCAAATACCGTGTTAATACAAAATAGCAATTTCACAAACACAGAAAGGGTCCAATACCAGCAGGACATTTTTTAAAAGTCATGCCAAAAATGCCATTCTCAGACATCATAGACATTACAAGTCATAAAAGTGAGTATGAAAAAACAATCAGAGAGCTCCTATTTTCCCCAAAGAAAGGCCTTAAAGAGCAGCAGGACGTGCACCTGCGCACAAGTGGAAACACTCCTAGTGGAAGCTGGCAGTGTAAACAGGACTGGCGGGCAGTTCGTTCAGCAGAAAGCCAGAACCTGAAATTTGAAATTGCCCACAGAAGCAGAGTTGCCCTTCCAGAATGGAGTCCACCCCTTCCTCGCATGGATCTCACTTCTCCCTCCTGTCTTCACAGCCCTGCTAACATTCATGCATGTTAGGTGTCTGTGACCACCCAGCTCCAAGGCCCCCCAGATCATGGGGCCATCACCAGGACAAGAGACCATAAATTTTGGTCTTGTATTCCTCCCAGTGGGGTCAGGGTTCTGAGTAACCAGATTCGTGGAAGCTCCTGATTTCTTTCTCCTTGCCTGTCGCCATACGGCCTTAGGCCACCCAGGCTCCCAAGGTATGGCACCATGCTGACCCTGCCAATCATGGCAAATAGGCACGAAGCACCTATTACCAACAACTGTGGCTTTCCAGAAGCATTCCACCAAGAACAGTTTCCAGGACTTAGGGTTCAGGCCCACTTGTGGGTCATAAAATCAATTTAGTGAGTTGCAACCAGCTACTTGAAAAAAGGATATAGGGTAGGATAGCGCAGGACAGGGCACACAAGAATAGGATAACATGACTGGATGGCGCTATGGCCTGAATGTTTGTGTGCCCCAAAATTCTATGTTGAAACCCCAGCCCCAAGGTGATGGTATTAAGAGATGAGGACTTTGGAGGGGGGCAAATTAAGTGATGGGGACTGAGCCTTCATGAATGGGATGAGAGCCCTTATGAAACATGTCTGAGACGGCCGGCCCGGTGGCGCACTGGAGAGTGCACGCTTGGGAGTGCGGCGGTGCTCCCGCCGAGGGTTCGGATCCCACGTGGAGACCGGTTCCCGCTCACTGGCTGAGCGCGGTGCGGGCGCAACACCGAGGGTTGCGATCCCGTTACCGGTCAGTAAAAAAGACAAAAAGGAAAAAAAAAAAAAGATGTCTGCGAGAACTCCCTTGCCCCTTCCACCATGTGAGGACACAGTGAGAAAGTGCCGTCTATGAACCAGGAAGAGGGCCCCGCCACACACCGAATCTGCCAGCACCTTGCTCTTGGACTTCCAGCCTCCAGTACTGTAAATAATAAATTTCAGTTGTTTATAATCCACCCAGTCTATGGTATTTTTGTTACAGCAGCCTGAACAGACTAAGTCTAGGATAAGATGGATAGGACAGGAAATATCAGAGAACATCACCCAAGTGCATGCCATTTCAATGAAGGGTGTGTAAACTGGAACTACGGTGCAAGATCTATTTCTTAGCATGGGTCTTAATCAAAAGGGTTTGAAAAACAGTGACACGGGGGATCAAGGGAAAAAGACAGCTACCCCGTGCAACCTGGAGCCTGGCCCAGACGATGCAACAGGCAGGTATCATGGCACACAGGTAAACCCTACCCACAAGAGCTGCCAGCCTCAGCTGGGATATGGCACCCTCCCCTCCTCACACTGCAACAAGGGTAAATATAGCCACGAAAGCCCATCATGAAGCCAGATTTGCAAAGAGAAAGTTAACAGGACAAGCTGAGGGTACGTGGGCAGAGAGATCCCATTTGTAGACCTGTGTAGATGTGTGTGTGGTCATAGTTGTGCCTAGTCCAGTAGATCCCAAATCCTCATCCCAAAACACCAGATTGATACAAAGAGTCACCTAATATTTTTTAAAATATTGCCTTATTATGGTATTTAAATGCTGCTTTATCTTGTGGGTGCTGGTGGGGAAAGCTGTCTGCATAGACACAAATGCTATAGGAGACAAGCCCGCAGCCTCCTTCCTGCCCAGTCGAGCCCCAACAACAAAGGGCATCCCTTTGGGACTCAAGAACTGCTAGGCCCTGCAGGAGGCTTTGGGCACAGTGTCCTTGCTCACCAGAGAGAGTTGCAGCCTTTGCCAGTTCCCCAAGGTGACCTGACCAGAGGCAGAAGCAGAGAACGTCTGCATCCTCAGACCTTTCATGGCTCAGGCAAAACTGACAGAATCAGGAATCTATCAGCCAGGAGACGGGATTGCCAGGAGGATTTTAGGGAGGTGGCCTTTGCCTGCTGCCTCAGATCTCAGCTCTCTGGGAGCAAAGCAGCCTGATGCCATGGAAAGAGGAAGGCTGCAACACCCAAGGATTAAGAGCTGGATGACCTTGGACAAGTCACTTCACCTCTCTGAGCAGCCTCAGTTTCCCCACATAAAATGGAAACAGTAATTTCACCTTACCAGGTTTTCAGGGAGAAATATATAAGAACATGGATGTGAATATGCACATGTTCATAAATGCATATATGACCAGTTATAGTGATAAAGAGGGTGACAGGGTGTGGCACAGTGCTTTTGGGGTGCAGGCAGTGGTGTGCTGGTAATCTAGCCCTCCAAAACGACTAAGCTCTGATGCGTAGCATTTGCCGATTGCCAAGATGTAAACACCCCCACCTTGGCCAATAGCACACTAACAGGGGTTTCATGACTTACAAAGCTCCCAAATAGCTAACGGTTAGCCTACAGGGTGCTGTAAGCAGGGAAAGAACACCGACACCCTCACCAATCCCCCGTTTCCCAGCAGCAGTGGAGCTACATTAGACAGGATACATGCGGTCCCCTCAACCGCATGAGGCCCTCGTGGCCCTGCCTCCAACAGCGACCCCTCCGCACCCACAACCAGATCATCTGCAGGACAAGTACCCAGCTCCACCTCCCTTCACCCCTCCACGTCTCACTCCTCATGCCAGAGCTGACTGTTCTGATCTTCCAGACAAACCAGCTCTTTGGCAGCACCCAGGCAGTAGGTCCCAGGGTGCCCAGACTCCCCCAGGGATAGGGACAGTGGCCAATTGTGGGGAATAGTCAGTTCAGTGAGAGCAGACAGAATGACAGCTGTGGCTGGGTGGACAGACAGCATGAGGCAAGTTTTACCTAACTTCCTTAATGTGGCCTAAAGAAAATACCCTCAGTAAGGGCGGTGTGGGGGAACTTTATGTCGAAAGATCCTCACCACAGATTGGGTGTGTGTATATATAGAAATTGTGGTACACCCACCCACTCAATGCAGACTTTTATTTCATTTATTTTTTGGCAGCTGGCCAGTACAGGGATGGAACCCTGGACCTTGGTGTTAGCAGCACCACGTTCTAACCAACTGAGCTAACCGGCCAGCCCTAGACTTTTAAAATAATGTTTACAAAGTGCTTGAAATAATATGGAAAAATACTTTAAAAGTAGGATATAAAAGTGTATACAGCAAGAGAAGAAAATGCTAAAGTAAAACACTCCTCATGGATCTGGAAGAAACACAAAAAGAAAACCACTAAAAGGTTTAGAGTGATTTTGTGGGATAGGGAGACACTAGGTAATATTTTCCACCTTTCTTGTACTTTATGGAATTTCTATAATAAGCATATATTATTTTAATGAAAAAAATCCTTACGGTTAAGAAAACCAACCCCCTTCTCAGTCACTTGACAGACACTCCCTCAACCTAGAGAGGAGCCTCGATGAGTCTCAGGGTCTGTCCTCAGAGGCCACCTTGACACTTACACTGCACAGAACCATTTCATTACCTCGTCCTTTCACCCCAGACCCTGCCGTATTCATCCAGTAATCCCAGGGCTGGCACGCAGCTGGCCACCGAGTTTCCGTACTACAGACCCACCAAGGACAGTCAGAGCTCACTGCAAACTTGAGCTGGGAAAACTAAGCCAGGAGCCTCCGATTAGCGTTCCAATTCGTCTTCTGATGTTCAATGTCACCACGAGCAGAGGCCAGGGAAGTGACCATGCAGATCACCATTGTGAATTTGCCTTCTTCCAACCCTGGATGCACAGGGGCCAATGCTTTCCCAAGGCTTCCTAGGCAAGCCTTCCCAGTCTCAGAAGAGGAGGAGAGACCACACATGGCCAAGACCAAATTAGTACTGAGAACCTACTAAGTTCTGGATACTGTGCTCATAGTAACTGGCCTCGAACATCCAGAGAGTCTCCCATTCCACTGCTCATACGCATCCTGCCCCGTCCTGCCCGTGTCTCCAGGTCTGTCTAAATGGCTAAAATGGGGATAGTCTTGGTCTACGAAAGTTGCCCCTGATGGAGCATTAGCAGATGTGAAATGAAGGGGAAACTCCAGATCAGTAGCTCTCAACAGTGTTTGGTCCAGGTGCCCTGGGGACCCCCAGCACCCTTTCAGGGGGTTCACAAAGCCTAACTATTTTCCTAATATACTGTGAAGTTATTTGTCTTTTTCCCTCTCATTCTTTCACATGTGTCCAGCAAAGTTTTCCAGAGGCTTCCTGGCATGTGATGTTGCAACAGACTGAATACTAACGCAGATAGGAGGGTCTGATTGGCTTCTGTTAAGGCAGACATTCAAGAGATTTGCAAACATGTAAAACAATGCCACTCTTCCCCTACATTTATTTTGTTTGGAAAATATAGTCATTTTTAATAGAAAAATATGTTTAGTGTGTTAGCACATAGTGGGGTTTGTTATCTTTAAATGAATTAATAGCTATTTTAAAATATTCTCATTGTTAATTTCCAGTATAATGAATGTTAATAGATATTAGCCCACCTACACAAAAGTTCTTTGGTGTCCTCAATATTTTTAAGAGTATAAAAGGGTCCTGAAATCAAAAAGTTTGAGAGTCACTGACCTACTGGTGCTGTCCAATAGAACATTCTACAATGATGGAAATGGTCTATATTCGTGCTGTCTAATATGGTAGTCACTAGCTACACACGGCTATTAAGCACTTAAAATGTGGGTAGGGTGAATGTGAGAATGAATTTTAACTTTGATTTAATTTTGATAGACTTCATTTAAATAGCCATTTGCAGCTAACAGCTACTACATTAGACAGAACACCACTAGAGGATGTCTGCTGTTTCTCTGCCTATCTGGGATTTATTGTTATTTTCTCTATGCTGTGTCTACCAGAGGTGTCTGTGCATGAAAGAGGGTCTCAGCATCGCTCCTGAGAGGAGCTGGGTCCACAATTCTCTGGGTCCAGGGACCACTCCTCGAGCTAGGGAGGGGTCTGCCATGCCCACCAGCTCGGGCTTTGTGCTCATCCGTGGTGTGCACAGCTTGGAGATGGACAGGCAGCTTACAATCAGCTAAGGAGGGCCCCCGGTTCATTTTATAGCTGATCAGATGAGAGCACAGAGAGGACAGTCATCCACCCAAAGTCACATGGCAAATGCAGAAGAGAAAAGCAGAACCCACATCTCCTGGCTCCTACCATGAGCCTTTTCCAAGATGCCCCAAAGCCTCCTGCTTCTGTGCCAATCAAGCTTGGACATATGGAAATTGGAACAAAAGAGCCACATGTTCTGGCAGCTGTGTGCTCAAGTGTACCCACGTCCACACATGGAAGACGAGGTCCCAAGGAGGGTGGGCCTCTCCTCCCTCCCTGGCAGGAAGACGTGTAAGTGGGCTCTTCAAAGAGCTGTGCCACCTATGCCTCCAGGCTGCAAGAGCAGGCAGCAGGGTGCATATCCTGTCACTGGAGTGGGCAGGACTTGGCCACTGCATTAGACATGGGAAAAGGACAGTAGTCCCCTGGGAGGACAAAAAGGAGGTGAGAGGGGGAAAGAGCACTGGACTGGACATCCGCTCTCCCAGCTCCACACCCCTGGGCATGTCACTCACCTGCTCTCATCCCCCATTTGCTGCTTTATATAAAGGAGCTCTCAAGTTTGCTCTCCCACCCCTTCCAACTCAGTCTGAAGGTCAGGGCTGCTCCAGCTCTCCAACACTGCACATCAGACCTCAAGTAAGACACCTAGAGAGGCCGATGGGACTGAGATACGTGGACTGCTACTGGCCAGCTGTGCACAGGAGGAGCATCCCGACTCCCGCAGTGAGCATTAGCATCGGACCAGAGAACGTACTTGGAATCAACACGGGATGGAAGCAGCACCCCTCCTCCCGGCCACCCTTCCACTAGGAGCCACATGGCAACACGTTCTCCCAAACGGTCGTCCTTTGAAAGCCTGGGTGGGAACCTCTGTCCCATGGGGATGGCCCTGTCCAACACTGGTCTGAACACCAGCTGTTGAACAAAACCTCACACCTATGTTACTACCCTTCAGAGCACATGAATGGGCTGAAGCAGAAACGTAGAGCCCACCATCCTCTCAACTGCTCGTCTCCAGGGGCAGGGAACCCTGAAGTGCAGACAGTGGAGTGGGGGAGACAGCATATGTGAGAGACATTTACAAGCTGTGTGCCCTTGGACACGTTACTCAACCTCTCTGAGGCTTCATCTCCAAATCAGTAAAATAGATGTTTTTTGTGATAGCAAGCAATAGATACCCCAAAACTTCGTATGTAGCATTTTTTTTATCACAGTCTCCATTTTACAAATGAGGAAACTGAGGCACAAAGAGGATGAGGGACTTGCCCAAGGATCTTGCTTGTTGGTCCTTGTAGAGCTGGATTTGGGTCAGGTCCCACTGGCTCCAAAATCCATACTCTGAAAATGAAGTTGCCAAGCATCTCGGTGACAGACCTGGGCCTGCACAGGGACCCTCCAGGGCTGGATTTGTTCTCACCGATTCCACACTCCAGGCTTTGTGAGGGCACAGGTGAGGGGCAGTGGGGTAGCACCCTGCCAGGCTAGCTTGTCCAGCTCATCACTCGCCATCTGCAGTGACACCACATCAGTAACGTGAACTTGGCCATGGTGGGAGTATTTACACCATGGAAACTGGCAAATGCTACACAACAGGGGTTTTTTTTAAAGTTATTATTTAAGTTTCCTTTTTTAGCTCAGCTTTCCTCTCCAGGGGAAAGACTTGGAGGGAGTAGCCTTCCTCGGAAACAGCATGGTCTGACCAACAGTAGGATGCTTGGGCATCAGATGGTCCTGGCTTCAAAGCTTTGCTCTGCCAGTTAGAAGCTGGGCACCCTTGAGAAAGTCACCAAACGTCTCTGTGCTTTGGCTTCCTGCTTTGTAAGATCAGCTAATAATCCTTACCCCATGGGGGAGTCTGTATCAATCAGTAGAGAGAGCATCTATAAAACCACTAGCACGAAAAGAGACTGGCACCAGGAGGCGCTCCACACAGGTAAGCCTCCACCTCCTCCAGCTTCCTGCTCCTTCCCTTGGCACCTGCTGCCGGGACTTCCACTGGCTCTTTCCACATCCCACGGATGCTGTTCCCAGAGCCTGCGTTTCAGCATCTGGTTACACAGCACATGGTGGAAAATCTGATAAGTGCCCATCTCCCAGCCCTTTGAGGTCCAACGGCCCCCTTTTAGCACCTGCAGTGCCTGAAGCCAGTGTGGGCACTGGTAGCAGCCTGAGCCATCCCCCACCCCAACTTCCTCAGCCAGAGCTGGAGGTAAATGCTCCACAGCTTCTGCAGACTGATATAGAAAAGGAAGTTGGGGAGCAGAAAACCCAGGACTGCGACAGCTCTCAGTACTGTCTAAATTACCCCACAGCGTGAGGCTCCCATCCACACCCAAGGTGGCTTTAGAAATTCAGATCCAGACCCATTTGCAACCCCCATCTCTGCACCCCGCTCCCCAGTGCTTTCCTGGGATTCTTCCCCAGCAGGCCTGGTGTGGGTGCTGACGGAGTGGAGAAGGCTCAGCTCTGAAGGATGAGTAGGAGTGAGCTGGGTGGATGGGGGGTGAACAGAGTTCCCAGCAGGGGGACCAGCACCCCAAAATGTACAGGGGCATGAAGGGGGGGGATGTCTTGGGGAAATGCAAGATCAAACGCGTGGGAGGAGAGACACAAGGAGATGCAGGTACCAGACTAAGGAGCTCAGCAAGGCTATGGGGCCACTAAAGGAGCCCCAAGTCACTGGCCCCGGAAAAAGAAACATGCAACGTGATGACAGGATTTTTATTTCAGACCAGCATGGTGCCATGCTTTGGGAGATTTCCTAAACAGCATGCCAGAACCCATGTGACCCCCTCCCCCAGCCTCAGGTCTAGGGAGAGGTCGAGTCTCAGCGTCCCTGCCCCCAATCAGGAGTGAGCCTCTCTGCAGTCTGCCCTCCCCTTCAAAGCTTTCCCTCCCCCTCTGACCTCCGACCCTGACCCCAGCTGGTGGGAAATACCAGGTGAGCTCCACAGGCAGGCTTACTGAAGACAGCTTCCCAGAGTAGAGAGCGCCTGCACAGACACACAAACACACACACACACACACACACACACACACAGGCAGGATAAAACCTACCCCCAAAGCATCTCCCGGCTCAGAAGCCATCCATCTGAGGAATGTGTCGAGGTGATTTAATACTGGCTCGCACACATGGGATGCAGATGCCGCAGCCCTGAATACCCTGGAATGGAGAGCTGAGCACAAGGCATCCTGCCTCTGCCCACCATCGCCCACCCCACTCTGGTTGGGTGTCATAGTATTAGGACCCTCTGACTTGAGAGACTCTTTATCCAGAGATTCTGCGAATCCAGTTCAGATCCCAGAGCTGTGCATGCCACTCCCCTCTGCTGTGCATGCCACTCCCCTCTGCAGTGAATATCCAAATGTTTAACAGACAGGCTGGCCCAGCCTTGAGGGGAGCTGTAAGGACAAGCTCCTGGAAGGCTTGTGGTTGGGCCACTGGGCACGTCAGAGGTTGAGGGTATCCTGGACACTCTGCCCAGATCTGCATCCAAGTGAGGTGGAGGCCTTCCTTCTGGGGCTCATCTGAGCACCCTCTTAGAGCCACTGACTGGCACCAAGAGAGAATCTGCATGTTGGCACCACAAAAGCCAAGTATGGAGCAAGTAAGCAAGTTTCCAGAGATCTGCCTGCCCTTCCTATGAATGAATGACTTTCATAATTTCTCTGGATTTTTTAGGATGAGAAAAAATGGCCAAGGAACAGCATCCCGATCCCCAATTGCTCGCTTCTCCTTTGTACTGAGAACCAACTATGGTGGAACAGATATCAGAGGCTACGTGGGTGTGTGCCTCAGTCTCCCTCTACTGCCTCCAAACTACCCACTCCAGGAGCTTCCCCAAAAGGGAAAAAGGACAGGGAGTAGAAGGCATTAGTGTCAGGAAATAAGCATGCTCCCCACATGGAGACTTTTAGCTGCTCTGGCTACGATCCCATTTCAGAGCACACCAGGCAGAAAAGGCAAAGAGGTTCCATCACGAGTGCCAAATCGTTTGGTAGTGGCTGCCCAGGGTACTGTGCTGAATTCTGATACTACGCATATGCTGCCATTGATTGGTGATGTCTGCCATGGTCATGGACATTCACCATCCCTGATCTACAAGCTGGGTGACTTTCCCTGAACAAGGGATAATTCCCCAGCCAGGACTTTGGTAGCAGAGAGGAGGGCCTGGCCACTCAGGTATAAACAACCCACCAGACTTCTTGCCAGATTCCCCAGGCCTGAAGAAGCATGTATCGGCCCGTCATTCCCCCATTTGCCAGGACAGTGTCTGCTCCCTTTTTTGAAGATGTTAACGTTGTTTGTATTAGGAAACACTTGTCTAAAATAGAAACACATTACAAGGTTAATTTCTCCTCTGCAAAAATGACTAAATGCTAGCTTCTTTGCTGCAGACTCGAGGGACAGTTTGGCTGTCACCAGAAGTAACCTCAAACCCATCAAAAACGCTACCTAGGAAGGGCAGACAGGCCTCAGCACTGTGCTCTGTGCTAAAGTTCGCAGAAACACTTTCCATGATGGTCTGTTCCAAAAGCCCAAATGACCCATGGAAGCTGAGCCACCTCACTTGGACACCTTGGTCTGCAGGGTGCTCGGTAGGTAGAGGTACCTCCAGATGGCATAGTAGTGGGTACCAGCACCAAATGCCACAAAGAGATGCCAGATGGCGTGAGCAAAGGGGATCCTCCCATCACTCTTGAAGAACACCATGCCCAAGCAGTAGAAGACCCCTCCGGTCATCAGCTCCCAGATGCCCTCGGTGTTGGGCTGTCAGCAAGGACAAAGGTGGGGCACAGGTCAGAAGAGTAGCCAGCAAGGCCAGTAGCACCCAGCCCTTCTCCCACCACCCAAAACTAAAATACACGCAGATGGCGAGCCAGCCCAGATTTCCAGGTGGGGAGTCTCGACACTGTGATGTCATCACTTCTCCCCAAATTCTCAAATGTAATACATGTCTATCCAAATCTCAAAGAACATTTTTATAGCTTTTCAAAATCTTTTCTAAAAAGTAATGCATCTGGGTAGATACCCAAAGAATTGAAAGCATGGACAAAAGGCAGAAGTAACCTAAGTGTCCATTGACGGATGAATGCATAAATGAAATGTGGTATGTACTTATCATGGAATATTATTCAGCTTTAAAAAGGAATAAATTCTGACACATGCTAGGACTTGGATGTACCTCGAGGACATCATGCTAAATTAAATAAGCCAGTCACAAAAAGACAAATACTATATGATTCCACTTATCTGAAGCACCTAGAGTATTCAAATTCATAGGGACAGAAAGTAGAGATAGAGTGAATTATCAGGGGCTGGGCAGAGGAGGAAAGAAGAGGTATTGTTTAATGGATCTGGAGTTTAAGCTCGTGAAGATGAAAAACTTCCAGAGATGGATGGTGGTCATGGCTGCATGACAACATGAATGTGCCTAATGCAACTGAACTGTACACTGAAACATTTTTAAGACAATAAATGTTATGTTGTGTATATTTCACCACAACAAAAAAAAAACATTATACATGTCCACGGCAAAAATATTTAGAAAAAAAATAATAAGAAAAA